GACAGCCTCCACAACAAAGAGCCATCCCAGCCACAATGCCAATACTGCCGGGTTGGGAAACCCTGGTTCTGCTCTTCAGCTTCAACTTCCATAAGAAAATCTTCTCAGGGCCAGCCCGGTGGCGCACTGCTACAGTGTGCTGCTTGGGAGCGTGGTGGTGCTCCCGCCGAGGGTTTGGATCCCACATACAGACCGGCGCTCACTGGCTGAGCGAGGTGCGGGCGTGACACTGAGGGTTGCGATCCGTTGCCGGTCACGAAAAAAGACAAAAAAAAGAAAAAAAAAATCTCAAACTGCCCTTCCATCTCTCTTCCCTACTTTATTTTTCCCCATAAGTACATATTACCATTTGAAATACTATATTTTATTTATTTATGGATTTATTTGTTTATTGTCTGTCTCCCTGAATTAGAATGTAAGCTCCACAAGGACAGAAATATTGTCCATTTTATTTATTGTTGAATCGCCAGTGCCTAAAACAATGCTTAGCATACAGCAGGCACTCAATATGTATTTGCTGGGATGACTCGTTAGCTCAGTTGGTTAGATCGTGGTATTGACAATACCAAGGTCCAGGGTTTGATCCCTGTACTGGCCAGCTGCTGGAAAAATAAAATAATAATAATACATTTGCTGAATAAATGCACAAACAAAGGAAGAAAAGAATCCCACACCTCAGAAGAAACCACTGTTGACATTTTTGTTCCTATTGTCCGGATTTTTTAATACTTATAAAGCAGATGAAATTTATATACATACACATATATGCACAGGTGCATACTTTTTAATTTTTTACAGAAATGAGTTTATAATGTATTCATTGTCCTACATTGAACACGTTATAAACATCTTTCAAAGTCAGTTCATAAGAAGTTACACCATTGTTTTTAATGGTTACTTGATTCCATTCAATGAATGTTTCATTCCCCTATTGATGATCATTTATTTTTTTCCCAAAGTTTTGCTATTGTGTACAATGCCAAAAGACTGTTGTTTTGTTGGATAGGGTCCTAGAAGTGAAATTCCTCAAAGAGCTTGCATTTTTTACATTTTAATAAGCATTGCCAGATTACTCTCCAAAAATGGAATAATTTACAGTCCAACCAATACCTTCACCAACACCAAACATTACTGAGAGGCAACAAGAAAAGATATGGTATCTCAATACTGTTTTAATTTGCATTTTTTCACTGTGAATGAAGTTGAACTTTTTTTCACATATTTATTGGCCATCTGAATTTCTTCTGTGAATTACCTGTTCACAATTTTTTTTCATTTGTCCATCAGGTTGTATAGGAATTTTATTGATTTGTAGAACCTCCTGTATATTATAGACATTAACCCTTTGTGTGTCTATTGTGTAGCAAATGTTTCCCAGTGTGTGGCTTATCGTTCAACTTTGTAAATGTCACTTTTCTCAGTAATTGTATTAGTAATAACACTAATAGCTAGCCTTTGTTAAGCATTTACAGTATACCAGACACCATTCCAAGTACTTTACATGGATTATCTCACTTAATTCTTATATAAGGTTTGTGCTATAATTACTGCCATCTTACAAGTAAGAAAATTGAGACACAGAAAGGTTAAGTAATTGGCCTAGGGTCTCTCATGTACTAAGTGATGGAACCAGAATTGGAATACCAGCAGTCTGATTCTACAGAAGTTTTAAACATTTAAGTAGTCAGACCCATCTGGGTTTTTTTATTTTTATTTTATTTTATTTTTTCTTATCTTCTGGGTATTGTTAGGGAAGCCTTCTTCAACATAGGTTATAAAAATATTCTTAGGGCCAGCCTGTGGCTCACCTGGGAGAGTGTGGTGCTAACAACACCAAGGCCACGGGTTCAGATCCCTGTATAGGGATGGCCGGTTAGCTCACTTGGGAGAGTGTGGTGCTGACAACACCAAGTCAAGGGTTAAGATCCCCTTACTGGTCATCTTTATTATTATTTTTCTTTTTTTTATGACGGGTAAGGGGATCGCAACCCTCGGCATGGTATGGTTTGCACCACGCTCAGCCAGTGAGCGCACCGGCCATCCCTACATAGGATCCGAACCCCCAGCCTCAGCACTCCCAGTGCTGCACTGTACCGAGTGAGCCATGGGGCCGGCCCTACCGGTCATCTTTAAAAATAAATAGATAAATAAATAAATTAAAATATTCTTCTGTTTTTTTCTATAGTTTTATTTTTAATGTTAAGCTCTTTGATCTATCTGGAGTTTATTTTTAGATGAGATAGGGATTTCATTTTCTTTTCTTCCAAACGGATAGTCAATTGTCTCAACAATAGTTATTGAATAATACATCTATTTCCCTCTGATATGAATGCCATCTTTATCATATACAAAATTCCCATACATACATTAATCTATTAATTTTTATATTTTTAACTTGTGTCTAATTACCTTATTGATTAGAATTTTCTATCTGTTGGGCCGGCCCGGTGGCGCACTGGATAAGTGCGCCGCTTGGGAAGCGCGGCGGCGCTCCCGCCCGAGGGTTCGGATCCCACATGCAGACCGGTTCCCGCTCACTGGCTGAGCGAGGCGCGGGAGCAGCACCGAGGGTTGCAATACCGTTGCCGGTCCCCGGTCCGGT